TATATCTATGGTTTCATTTTATTCTAGTAATAGATTTTCATGTCTACGTTTGTTATATGTTATTTTTATTTTAATAATTCATATGTCAATTTGATTTTTTCTTTTCAGTTATCATTTAATAGTTTCCATTTGTACAGTACACAACTCTTAGATTATATAATATAAAGGATTAATTTGCTTTATTCCTTATTTGGAATGCAATGTAATTATATTTACATTTTAAATGTAACTTTATGTGTAGGAGTATTTGTTTGCATGTATGTATGTGTACCACATATGTGTAGTGCTCACAGAGGCCAGAAGAGGGAGTTAGATCACTTGGAACTGGAGTTACAGATAGTTGTTAACAGCCTTGTGGGTGCTGGGAACCAAGACTGGGTCCTCTGCAAGAGCAGCCAGTGCTCTTAACTACTGAACATCTCTCCAGCTGAGTGCTGGGATTAAAGGTATATGCCACCAAGCCTGGCACCATATTATATTTTTTAAATGCATGGCTGCTGCTGTGTAGAGAAGTCTAAGTCTGTTGGTGCCAACAAATAAATTTTTAGCTGACTTGTCTCAGTATGTGGTCTTAAAGGATATCATGGATTCTTATTGAGAAGTTCAAAGACTTTAGTTATTTTAACTTAATTGTTATTGTTTTAATTTTTTACCTTCATTTATTTCTGGTGCGTCATGAGCAGGGTGCATATGAGTCACAGCATGCATGTGGAGGTCAGAGGACAACCTGCAATAGTTGATTGTCAGCTTCGCTTTGCGTCCTTCAGGCTCTGTGGCAAATGCATTTACCCACTCAAACATCTTTTGGTCGCCCTCCCGCCCCCTGATTCAACGTGCCCAGTCAGAGAAGACTTACAAGGTTGATGAGAATAAAGGACTTAGTTTGCAAAGGAAACACTTGGATCGGATCCGGATAGGTCTGCGCTTCATCAGGGTAGTGAGCAGATGAGTGAGTCTGCACGTGCAAGGCAAGTGTGCGCACATACACGGGAAGGCTGGAGCCCAGCTGGGGTGAAGAGCAGCTGAAGCAACGCTCTTCTGTGATTCTAATGACACTTTATGACAGAAACCAACACCATCAACCCTCGATAAACAAAACATCAACTATATCAGGCAGGTGGACAGCAAGTAACTATCAATGGATCCGGATGGGTCTGCGCTTCATCAGGGTAGTGAGCAGATGAGTGAGTCTGTACGTGCAAGGCAAGTGTGCGCACATACACAGGAAGGCTGGAGCCCAGCTGGGGTGAACAGCAGCTGAAGCAACACTCTTCTGTGATTCTAATGACACTTTATGACAAAAACCAACACCATAAACCCTTGATAAACAAAACATCAACTATATCAGGCAGGTGGACAGCAAGTAACTATCAAATAGGACCGTGTTGTAAAATTACATTAACAAATCTATTGTTTTTGTGTGTGAGCACACCATGGTACACATGTGGAGGTTAGCAGCTTGCAGGAACTGGTTTTCTCCTTCTGCCATGTGGGTCCCAGGGATGGAACTCAGGTCGGCAGTCTTGGCATCAGCTGCAACCCTGAACTGAGTTCTTAAATGATGTCATTTCTTGAGGAATGGGACAGGTAAAAAAATCCTCAAATATAGTATATAAATCATTGTGAAGAAAATTAAGAAGATAGTAAATTCACAATAGCCTTCATTTTCAAAGTTAAAAGTAATCAGCTTTGCTCTGATGTTACGGAAGCCCCCTGTAGCTTTTCATGAGTGGGTGGTCCACTACAGACACAGATAGTCAGTCCCACAGCATAGCAGGACACTGGGGAATGGAACCCAGTAATTAGGAAGACTGGGGACAAGAAAGGTGACATGGAGGTGCACTAACCCCTCCGGCACGTGACATGGAGGCGCACTAACCCCTCCAGCAAGAGGCTGTGGAAATGAACTAATTGCTCCAGCATACCCTCCGGCACGTGACATGGAGTTGCACTAACCCCTCCGGCACGTGACATGGAGGCGCACTAACCCCTCCGGCACGTGACATGGAGTTGCACTAACCCCTCCAGCAAGAGGCTGTGGAAATGAACTAATTGCTCCAGCATGCTGATGAGAGATGACAGACAGAGTGTAGCTCTGGACTAGCATGGACGTGTCAAGAAGAGTTTTCGTTTATCGAATACTAACCTGTTATAGTAATCCTCTCATGGCGTATTGTCTACCAAACATTACATTGCACACCTTGAATCAACACATGTTTTTGAATATCTGCTTTGTGGAGGTGGAGAAGTTGAAGGTTTAAAGACAAGAGATTCACTTTAGAACACGAGCTTGTTAGAGGTGCACCCCAGCTGGTCCTAGGATGCAGAGCGGAGGGGTGAGCACATCTCTCTCTTAAGGTGGCAGCTGGGTGCAGTTAGAGGGTGCGAAGGAAGGTGTTGAAGGGCAGGTGAAGACAGCTTGTGCCTTGAACTTCTATATCGATCACTTTTGTTATTGCTGTGCAAAAATACCTAACGTCCGCAGCTTACGGAAGGAAGAAAGGATTTGTCCGTCATGGCAGCGGGAACAGGAGGCAGCTGGTCACATGGCATCTGCAGCCAGGAAGCAGAGAGGTGAATGCTGGTCCTCGGCCTGATTTCTTTTTCATTCAGTCAAAGACCTCAGCCCACGGAATAAAGTTGCCCACATTCAGGGTAGGACTTCCCTCCTTAGTTAAACCTTTCTGGAAATATCTTCATAGACATACCCAAAGGTGTGTTTCTATGGTGATTATGAACACATTAAAATTGGCAATAAAGATTAACCATTATATCTTCTAGGTAAGTATATCTCACAGAATCAGAATCACAAGGGAGTGCGGAATAGAAATCCCACCAGCGGATCAGAACCCAGGACGCTGGGGTAGCCATGAACTCTCTGTGTTATTCTAACTAAAGTGAGAGGGTCACAGTTCAGTGAAATAGGAACTTATCTGTATGATGCTTGTACCTCACTGGGAAAGCTTTTGTGCTTCTGGGAAGAGAGCGGGAGACGTGCTAGACAACAGAAGATATAAAAGAACTACTGACCAGAGCCCATGTTCAAGATGGGAGGCAGGGCTTCATGTGAGAGAGACTGGCCCCACCAGAAGATGGTTGGCTGTGCTTCCATAGCTGCTTCTAGCATGTGTAATTCTACCCAAAGACCTTGTTGACAATTCTCTATTTGCCAGTATCCTGGGAAAATTGCTCCTAGAGGCTGCTGGGCCAAGGATGTCTTGAGAGATTTCTCATCCTTCTGAGTTGAGAAGCATGCCTTTCTTTCTCTGCAAATAGACTAAAGAACAGTGACTTTCAACAGACGGTCCTGTGGACGTGCGTATTCAGGGTGTAGATCTCACATATTTACGACAAGCCTGATTTCCCTCAGCTTGTTGTGGCTCTGTTCTGTGCATAGATGGCTACCGTTCTACCTGCATCTGACCTTGTGCAGAAGAAGTCCCGTTCTAGCTTATTCTTTTGTCCGCCCCTCGCCATCTCATCCCCCTTTGATCTTTTCCTTTGTACCTGACCTGTTTCCCCAGCCTCTTATCGCACCCCAGCTGCCTAAAATCATCTTCCAGATCTTTTCTGATATAGTCTGACATTGTAGTAAGTGCTGTAGGCCGTCACTGGTGAGTGAGCGTCTCTCCTCACCACAGGGTGACAGTAACTTGGAAACAAACTGGAGACATAAAAGGTTTTGCAACATGCCTTACCTTTGGCCACTGACCCCACTCCCCTATCTCCCACAGTTCAGGGACATGGGCTCCTGATTTTTGCAGTGTCCTGTGCACTTCTCTATGCAAACCATCCTTATAGGCTACTCTGATGCTTCTCTCTTCCCTCCCTAGGGAGGTGTCTTGAAATGCAATCCCTTCCCTGTAGCTTGCTTGGATCCACTCTCTTTTCCAAGGCAGAATTATTTTTTCTCCTGTTCTACAGTACGTTGTCGATAAGCCAAGTATGGCATTTGTAACCTTAGGTTGTGTTCATTACACTCTCGTTTCCTTCCTCAAGTCAGTCCTTGGACTTGGATTTCTTGAGTTAAAAAATGAATCGTTAGGGTGGGAAGATGGCTCAGTGCGTAAAGTGCCTGCAGCCATCCTATAGTAAGATGAGATACTTCAGAAGTTTTTGGGTCATGTGGTCTGGTGTATACAGTGGCGAACAAGAAAAAAGAACCTCTGTCTCAAAAACAAGGTGAGGACTGACACCTGAAGTTCTCTTCTGATCACCACCTGATCACTGTGGCATGCATATACCCCCCCACATGTACACACATTTCTATCACATTCTCCCTCCCCCCTTCTCCTTCTCTCTCTCAGACACACACTTACACTCATATGCATGACAAATAAAAGAAAGGGAAATGAAGCACACGTCATTAATTTTAATTTATCGAATGGCACATAGGAGTTGTGCCATGAACTTTAGTTGAGTCCATTCGAATGACTCTCCATAGTCCCAACTGGATAAGGAGAGAGAAGCAGAGTTCTTCAAAGCAAGAAATGTGGACAGCTATCTGCGTTAAGCTATAATAATAACATTCTTTCCTTCCCCGTGTGATATTATAGTTGCAGCATTGACTAACCCAGATACTTATAGAATGTGGAATTTCCAAGGGAAAAGTTGTTTTACAAGTGATTCATTTTAATTTTCAGACGAGAAAGCCAGTTTTATGTTTATATCATACCACACATATAGGCTTTACCACCCTCCCAAGCCAACGGTATTTATGAGTGCATGAGTGTTAAACTATTTTACATTCCACCTGGAAAATACAGTTTGGAAAAGAACAAAATATACAGTTCACAAGAATTTTATTAAGGAATGTTGAGGCATTCAAGGTATTGAGGTGGGAGAAAGTCAGGGTATTTGGTGAGTTCAAAGAGGATTTAAATCAAGTGAAGTGTTTTTCATGTGTTCTATTTGATGAGCCATCTGAATCTCATCTAAGCCGAGTGAGGTGTGAGGGATCTGTACTTCTTAGATTTAATTGACCCTCTTGTTTTTTGTAGGTTTCAAAACCTACTGTGGTCCAGAAAAACATTTGTGGACAACATGAGAATCTATAACCACAGTTACATCTACATGCCTGCCTTTTCTATGAAGACAGGAACAGAGCCATCCCTCCGTGTTTATTACACTCTATCAGATGTTGGTGCCAACCAAACAGTGCTTTTTGCTAACCCTAACTTTCTGAGGAGCATTGGAAAATTCTGGAAGGGCAGGGGGATCCACGCCAAGCGCCTGTCTACAGGACTCTTTCTGGTGAGTGCGGCCCTGGGCCTCTGTGAGGAGGTATCAATCTACGGTTTCTGGCCCTTCTCTGTGAATATGCGGGAGGAGCCCATCAGCCATCACTACTATGACAACGTCCTGCCCTTCTCCGGCTTCCACGCCATGCCGGAGGAATTTCTCCAACTCTGGTACCTTCATAAAATTGGTGCACTGAGGATGCAGCTAGACCCATGCGAGGGGCCATCTCTTCAGTCTACTTCCTAGGGGCCACGGAAGGAGACAAAAGGACCGGCAGGGTGCTTTTTCTAGGTTTTCTATGTGGCCTCCAAGAGGAACAGCCAAGTTGAGTCGAGGATTGGCATGGATCCTTTGGAAAGATAAGAGAACCCCTTAATAACACAAGCAAAACCTTCCTTTTGATGTCGGCTTGGAGCACAATAAGAAATCAAACGTTCTGGAAAATATTTTATAGCATGTTGTGGATTTGCAACTGGTACAAAGGGAGACAGTGTGGGTAGAGCACATTTCTGTGGTCCAGATCTAGACGATGCAATTTGAGGATGAGAATGAACTCTAGTTGTTGAGACCAAAGGACTTATGATGGTGGAGTACAGAGATGCTGGGATAGAAGTGTTGCTGTCAACACAAACCGGCATCATCATCCATTAAAAAGACCTGTCTTATTAAGACTGGCATTAGAACTGTAGGCTTTTAAATATTATTATTTATTTTTGCCCTGTTTAAGGGCAGTGGATGGGTGATGGGGTAGTCTTAAAAAATCCTTACTGCTGATTATTGTGATTTGTTGAAACAAGTCTATGTTAACTATAGTTGTTCTCCGTTTCTAAAGTTTTAAACAAGAATCGCTTCTTCCCTCTTTGGTCATGTCTTCTTAGACAATATAAAACATTGTTGGATTTAGACTGTGTTGATTCATAGTCTGGACAACAAAAGCCACTTCCTCTCCTCAGACATTAGGACATAAACTCAGTTTTAGGTCTGTGTTACACCAGTCTGTTGGCATCATGGCTATTATTTTAGTAAAGTGATTACACATGCAAGTGCATTACTTACCTATACATTGGCAAAACTGTCTTCATCACTTAATGTTCAGAGGTAGAGTAGCACGCGATAAGGTCAAAGCTTTGTCTCTGAGGCAGACAGACCAGAAGGCAGATCCCTTTCCTATCTCACATGGTATATTCACTCTGACACACACTCTACAAAGTAATCAAAGTGTACCTATCAAAACTGGGTGCACATGGCCTGGCATCTGTAATCAGTGTTGGAGAGCCACAGTTACATGGTGTAATGTCCATTATGCGTTGATATAAGATAAGCTGGTGTCCTGGTTGCTGCCCATCAGTGTGCATACAGCATGAGGCCCAAGTCTTGCCCTCAAATACTTGATCCAGAGTGAGAGCTGTCTTATTCGTTCTGTTCTCACCCAAATCTCGTGACTACATAAGGCATGTCTCATGTAAGTGCACAGGAATGAGTCTGCAGCTATTGATTTCCTTAGTCACAGGAAGGACCACTTCAGCTTGTTCCCGAAGCTCTAACACACAGAAGGAAAGCTGTGCTGGCAGATTACAAGCAGCCAGATGTGTGTACATAGGGAAAGAGAAAGGAAAACCCTCTTGTCTTTGTGCTTTGGAGTGTGTTAAGCTCAGAGCAGATGTGAGGACTCATCTTTATTCTTTCAAATGTCATCATGATGTAGGTAAACTCTACCCAGAAGCTCTCCTTCAATGTTGAAGATAGAAATTTGGTATGCTATTAAAACAGGTGGCTTTTAAAAAGGGGGTTAACTTACAAGATGGAGAAATAACAAAGCTGATGGATGAATTTTACATTTTTGGACTAGGTCATTTCCAAATGGGATTGAATATTTAGGTTGCTGGAGAAATTAGGACTTGACCTAAGAAAGGTTGGTCTAACACAGATTACGTTGCTCTTTGGAAAGTTGAGAGTTTGCGAAGTTTGATTCTGGCTAGAGCTCGCTTGGCACTTCATTCTCGTGTGGTAGCACAGGAAGATGGTAGGATGAGTGAGCTGTGTGTCACAGTCACGTGTGTGCAACCCTGGATGGATTCCCTATTTTGAGCTACTATTATTTAATAATTACCTGAAAAAAAGAATACATTTTTACCAAATGGTCTTGATTCAAAGTATACAAGGGCTAAGAAACACACACACATACATACACACACACACACACACACACACACACAC